AAAGCCTGAACTTTGAAGAACATGCCTCCTCTATTATTTCTAAATCTAGACGGCTAATTGGTTTTATAATGAAAAACGTTTTCACAACAAAGGGTAAACTTACTGTGTACAAAATATGTGTACGACCCTCCCTTGAATACTGCTCTTTTGTCTTCTCTAATATGAATATCACAGACAAGATAAGAGTAGAAGATGTTCAAAGACGATTCACACGTCAACTACTAGGATGTAACTCGAATCTTGATTACACAGATAGATTTAAGCATCTATCTTTAGAACATTTATGGCACCGTAGGCTAAAGAACAACCTAATATTTCTCTACAAAGCGATATATGAGCTCTCCTTTCTAACCTCCTGTCCGACTACCACCCACGACCCAGCCTATAGACTTAGAAACAACGCATAAACACTACTTACCGTAAAACACCAAAAACAAATGCGTCGTAAGTTTTTTGCAGTACGGTATAGTTTATTGTGGAACAGGCTGCCAATGCCTATCCGTAACTGTGATACGTTTACCAGATTCAAAAAGCTAATAACACTATTTCTACATTCCAAAGAACCTCAACATTTCCTTGATCTCCCGCCCACCAATGAGGCACTTTATTACGGACCATCTAGTATCTAGAAAGAACAAGATTATAACAAGTTCGACTGTTACCAAAATGAATATAACCAAATCACAGGATATGCTGCTTATCCTTTCCTATTATTCATTGTTTATTAATCATAGCCTTATGTTCCTAACCCTAGCTTTCAGTTCCCAAATGTCTACACGTTAAATACTGATAGCCCAATCTTATGGATGCTGATCTACTAAGGCCGATCATACAAAGCTCAAAATTTGGCCACAAAGTCTTGTGAGTTTCTCAATGTTTTATTTGGCTTACCCTGTAATTTTTTTTCTACAATTTTATACCCTCTCATATCTTTTGGTTTGCTATTAGTCCTTACTTCTTTAAACCATTAGTTATTTTCATAGCAGTGTGATATACTATGTGGACATCTAACCCATAAAATTAACTTTTCAACTATCTGATTTGCTTGTAACATGGACCTAGTAGAGACAGTGTATTGCAACCATGGGCTTTGATTAAAGCAGTATTCATACTTACCACAAACGTAAGAGAGCCTTACATCACAAAAGGAGAAAGCCTGGAGTTACTGACCAGCAAACATGATGGTGGGGAGATAACTTCAATTCATCCATGTCTGTAGGGCAGAACATTTTGTTTAATTACGGCTCCTTATGGTTTAATGGGAGGTTACGAACCTAAGGTATTAATGCAGATTTATCATGCAAAATACCTCAATAAATCGTGTTACGAATGTTGAATTGGTTTCACTTCCTACCCAGTAATCCTATTACAAGCAAACTAGACAATTCGCTAATATACGAAGCCTACTCAAGACGCTATGATACCTGAAAAAATAGTACAAAAATGAAAGGGGATCTAATAGCTTCGATAAAAAAGGAAGATAGCCAATTGTATATCATAATAATGTTTCTAGCACTATATTTTATTTTATAACCACACATAATCCCATACTCTCAGCTCCTTTCTGAATCGCCTCCGTTTGTCAGTTGTATGTCCACTCATACCTTGTTAGCACTTATTTATCTTAACCTATTAAAGTGCTCTTTCCTAACAATACCTTAATAAAAGAAAATTAGACTGAGTAATCATACCTTAAACATTTCTTCATGAATATTCGCTACTCAGCCTCTCGTTTTTTTCTTTTACTTGTTCCCTATTTCAGCCCCCTTATGATATGGTAAGAAAGATTTCATCCTGCACCATCCTCCAAAGCCTTCGGCATTCCAAAGGGACATTAGGTTGCGACATTTAGAAGCACCCACCTTCAATG